CAAAACTGAAATTTGCGCTTACTTTATGTCGTAGAGTGTAGAATAAAATACGCCACATTTGTGGTCTTGTTTAGTTTGTTGCGTTTACAAACGAGGAAGTGCACGGAGACACTGTGTTTACTTGCTGAAATATGCCGTCTCATTGTCTGTTATATATATATATATATATATATATATATATATATATATATATATATATACCAGTTGTTCATGTTTGTGTGTAACAGTTGAAGAGTTAGCTCTCTATTCAACCAAAGCTTTCGTAAACAGTAAGGTGACTGATAGACGGATGCAAAGGCTTTGTTTACGGCTATATCGCGCCGTTGCAACCCCTGTCCTCATGAGGTCTCTCTCCATTGCACGACTCGAAGTGAAGTCGAAAGTCCAGCCGAAACTATTTCTACTATCGTTGTCTGTAGACTTCACCGAGGTTAAGTACGAACTCGTCGGCCGGCTACAGGATGTCAAACGCTCGCGTAGTTACGCTACCGATTCTCACAAGCGCACACCTTCGGTACATTCGCGTGCCGTCAAATTCCCATCAACTTTAATTTCTACTATAGCGGTTACTGCTGTCCCTACCTCCATTGCCGCTGGCGTGAGAACTGCAAAAACGTGCGTGTCTGTATGTATATGCGACGACAAAAAGCCAAATAATATCTCTCACGAAAATCAGCGAAAACGACAAGGATGAAATAGCCCGAAAAAAAAATGAACAAGGGGAAAAAGATAACGTACAAACGGAAGCTTCACTTACGTGATTACCGTTTATCGCGGGAAATTATTTATATTTTCAAGCTTTCGCGTCAGCTGACCGAACGATTCGTTGACTAAATCGTTCGGCTGCGATGATCCTTCAAATGGTACGATTGAAGATTCGATGAAGATAACTGTGATTCTTAACTATTTTTGGACTGCTTCTGTCCATTTGGCGAATCCATCGAATCTATTAATTTATGTTTAGGCTGAGCTCGTGCAGCTGTAACGTGCATACGTGTGTATAAATAGGTTGTAGCGTCGTTTTTAGTGCCCACAACGTAACCGGCAGATAATTCGTCTGACGGCGGCCTGTCCCTATTCGCTCCTGGGTGCGTCATTCATTTTTTACTGCTGAGACATGAGATTGTCGCGCCGCGTTGTATCGTTTAGTCGTAGACTGCTTACCGTTGAACGCCTTCATTTCCAGCAGTAGATGGCAATAGTTATATGGGTAAGCAAAAAAGCAGCGACCCTGTGCACCACTCTGAGGAGCTGGGGAGTAGGACGACCGGCCAGGGATAAATAGCATTAAGATGGTAAATTTGTGAGTAAGTAAAGTAGCGACCTGCCTCTCGGTCACAGTCGTGCTATAGCGGTGTCATTAAACGAGGAGAGGTCTAAAAATAGTATCCGATAGTAAAAATGGCAAAATTGCCATTTAATAAAAGTGCTTGTGGCAGTTGTTACAGGAACAGGTAACAAACTAGTCTATAATGCTACTCATTGCAACAATGCCGCAGTCGCTGTTATTGTTGTGCTTCATTTACGTCGCTGTCACTACCACTTTCAGATGGCACAAAAAAAAAAAAAAAATATATATATATATATATATATATATATATATATATATATGCAAAATGTCATATAAATATACGCATATATATATGTATGTGGCTTTTTGTTGTATCTTTTCCTCATTTTAATTAATACTTACAGCGCTTTGTCTCTGATGCACATTTTCTGCCATAACAACCGTGACTGCTATCTGTAACGCGACGATTAGTACTGCCACTTTCTACTTCACTGGCTTTCAGTAGCGCAGCGTTTTTCGAGACGGCGCGACGTAATCAGTCTATTCTAGCTCTGGCGTCGCTGGTTCTGACGTCAAGAAACGTTACGGACGTTAAATAGTCGCCGAGATATAGCACTTGCAGACTGTTCGAGACAACTTCACCGGTAAGAGTTCGACCCTCCTGTGAAGGCTTGAAAGGTTAACGCAGATAGCCACTCCACCTATGCCGATAAACGATCGCAATGGGTAAATGATGCGAATAACGTTAGTAATGGGCGCGCCGACAATGGGGAAAGCTTCTGATTATTATTCTATACAATAAAGTATACAGCTGGGTACCATTCCGTTTGAACACACGAATTTACTACAGACAATAATCACTTAGCGTTGTACAATCAACGTAAATGAACCGAAAACCGCGGCAATTTTTGACATAAACGCGTCTGTTTCAGCGTCTTCGGTGCTGCCACTTATCACGAGCAGCCGATGTGGCAATCATCAGGGTCGCATGACTTCTGAACTCTTCATCCTGATACGTAGCGTTCGTTTCGTTTGCAGTCCGTTCCGCCTTCCTCTATGCCGATTTACAGATTTTGTTTTCGCACAACAACAACGACGACCAACAACAATAATTATATTAACAGCAACAAGAAGGCCAACATACGGCAGAATAATGTAGGCATATAATAATGCTCGATACGGACATCGGCCTTTTTTTTCAAATTTAATCGAACTGCGATTTAATCGAAGCGCGAGAACGTGTATGTGTACTTCACATAACGAAGTAAAATCGGCGGAGAGATAAGGAGCTGCATTTAATTCCGTTGCTTATGCGAAATGTTAGAAAATATTGACCAATGTTGCTTTACGGAAGCAGAAGATGCTCGCCCTAGGTACCCCATATCGTTGCGTCACATGGGAGGGCAAGAGTTGACTACTATTCGTACAGGACTGGCAGGAAAACAGATCAAAAACTTATAGTCGTTCCGCCGCTGGACCAATATGAAGGCGTTATGGGACATAAATAACTGGGAGATACTTCGACCGTGGCTCTATTCGCTAATAGTAGTCTTCATCGTCACCAATTAGCCGCTATTTGTCTCCGACTGATGGACAATTGCGAGTGCTACAGCTGACCCTGGTAGACGTAAATGACAGAAGAGTACGACGTCGAATTTCATACGTGAACGAAAACGGTATGAAGGTGTCGTCAAAGCCATTTTTCATAGCTAATACTATTATATTGATAAGGTCTTGTCTAGCATTCATGACATGACTCAGTCTGACAGGGAAATTACCGATTGTTGAATAACTTTATGCAAGATCTATAATAACTGTTTCCAATTTTCTTTGATCGATTGTATTGACTCAATTAAATAACTGCTAAATTCAATATGTGTGTTAGGAACAGCTAGCAGTGTTGTTTGTATCGGTATCTATCAGGGTCTGTCAGCGATGGCCAAGGGGCATGCTACATAGTAATTCTAATAGGATCATCCACTCTACACGTCACAACAGCGTCAGTCTGTTATAGGAGTCTGTTCTCAGTCTGTTATAGGTTGTATACACTGTACGAATGTACGTGCACGATGTATATGCACCTGCATGACGAATTTGAAAACCAGCGTTCCCGGATCTCTGATTGGGGCGGGGGGTTAGAAGTGCACTAACTAACCCATGAATACATTTGACTTTGGGACTTGTTGATGAGTCCTTGCTTTTTTGAACTATGCCTCAAACTGACACACCTCAGACCAAATATCCTTTTTTCAAGTAGAAGATGACATAGAGGGTTAGGGTCGTCTCCAATGATTTTTTTCCCAGGGACGACATTTACACGTTTCCTGCGGATGCCTTGGGCAATCAATTCTATCAGGTACTTGAGAGAGCCTTTTTTTTTTTAAATGAAGTAGGCCAATTGGAGAGAGGTGAAACGTAATGTCGTAGGGCATATCGAGGGCTGTTTTTTTGCTATGTATTGACGGTTTATTCGTATTGGCGCAACGTTATTTCGGTTGAAAAGTTGTCATATGGAAAAATAATGATAATTGACATTATATTCATAATCGTTCTTTACTACTGCTACTGTATGATTAGCGTTATCGGATGAGATAAACCGTGAAATTTAATCTTAAGCGTTCAGTAAAAATAAACAGCAGTACGTATTCGTTGTCGTTGTCTCAAACTTATTTTAATTAACTTAAACTTTTTTGTTTGCATATACCCTCAGATACATACTGATAGTCTTTTTCCCATATTACTTAATATGCGACATAGTAAGGCCAGCAGCCTCTTCGGCCACTACTATTGCATCTGCCAGCAACTCTGGACTTCACGCTTTTTTCCTTTTATTTCTAATTAAACAATATGTACTGATTTTGTAACGGATATATTTAAACAGGGAAAAATAAAGATGTGATACCGTTAAGGGAACGTCGACATGTCATCAGTCCTGTGCAGTAATAGGCAACGCTATCCTGTGACGCCGAAGATCCGTCCTGGTCGAATAGACTACGTATTTTACTAACGTTACTACTTATTGACTTGTGTCATGCCGACATTTGTCTCATTGTTACGTCGTAATCAAAAATGCTAAAACACGAGATGAAGGACTCTTCGCATGTTGGCATTTACACCATCTTGAAAGTTTAAACTTAGAGTAATTAGTTGTCGTTCAGTAAACCTTGATTGCATGACAGAAACAATTTTTGTAATGTAATGTTTCCTGTAGATAGATAACTAAGAGGCTGATAAGAGAGTTTCGAACTCGTTATCTGTATTTTGAAGGAATCTAGAAGGTTGTCCTCCATTGCCTCACATTATCCATAAATGCATGACCAGTAAACGTATGTTCTAT